ATATTGTTTGGGGTCCATTGGGTAGCCTTATTGGGCTTATTCTGCTCATCAGCAAAATAATCAGAATAAGTAGCTAAATCTCAGGATTAAACTCGGTTGCTATTGGGTGGCCACTTTCTCTTCTTGTAAGCCTTATAAGCCTTATTTTTGAGTCAAATGCATAAATGGTACCTTAAGTATTGGTAATGTTGCATTTTGGTACCTTAACTCTTAAACGAATCAAAAAAGTACCTTAACTATAGATAAATGTTTCGAATTGAAATTTTATTCAAATTTTCAACCAAAAAAACCTTCACAGTGATCATAATTTCATGTGTAGAGTCATCCTATAGTGGCCAAATGGACAAAAATAAGGTGAAGTAGACTTTACACGTAGAATTCTGGCCGTCACGTGTGATTTTTTGGTCGGAAATTTGAATAAAATATCAATTCAAAAGATTTATGTATAGTTAAGGTACTGTTTTGATTCATTTAAGAGTTAAGGTACCAAAATGCAACATTACCAATACTTAAGGTACCATTTATGCATTTGACCCCCTTATTTTTTAACAACCACTAGTTAATTTTACTGTGTGGGCCAAATTGGTTAATAAAAATGTTGGGCAAGATGTACTTTTTTGTTGAAGCTAACATGATGATTGGAGCCTTTTGTCATGTACTTTATATTCAACTTATCAAAAAATTATAGTTAGTACTCCCTCAGTCCCATCTCGTAAGATACACCTTCTTTTGTGAGCTGCCCCAAAAAATATGAACACTTTCCTTAGCTGAAAATCATTGAATTTTTGTTTTTCCTACTTTATCACTCTATCTCCTATTTCATCTTTTGTGTGGATCATACTACTTTAACTTACTTTTTAGGGTTGCAATTGTAAACGTATAACTATATCATTTATTTTCTTAAAACCCCATCCTATCTCAAATGTATCTTACATTTTGGGACAGAGGGAGCATTTTACTGTTTCATAGTTCAGCAATATTTGCCACAATTTGAATAACTTCAGCAACTTGAAAATTTCATCTTCATCCACCCTTAACGAGCAAACCCTTTCTTTTTTTGTAGTTTGCACATTTTCCTATCGTCTGCCACTTGAGAGACTATATCACTCTGCATTGATGCAGGAATTAGTTCTAGATAGTTTCTTTAGTTGGCATCCTTATTCCTTTCTTTATTAAGACTTGGTAGCATTTCAAGTTTCGACCTTGTAGCACCCTGAGTGAGCTCCATGGACTCATGGAGTACTGAATAAGATATATTGCACTGGACGTTGTTTATTACGATGAAAGTGTTATTAATATTATTGTTATTTGATATTTAATTTTCAACAAGCTGCTAGTTTGCAAGTTCGAAAAGATGCAAGGAAACAAAATGCCACCACAATTTGTGACTAGATGGATCATTAGATGTCATCTATGTTATCTTTTATTGTTGTTGTTCTGACGCGGATTAGATCATGGGAAAATGAATGGATTTGCCCTTAAACTATTTCCTCAGTGAACAATAATGTTAAATATCACAGTATTTTGCAACAGTAGAACACGAAAATAGTAAATATGGTATGTTTGCTATATATTAGTGAGCACATTTAACCTTTATGCCCAACAGTTAATATGGTATGTTTGTTTAACAGAATTTTTGTTCCTTATCCCATAATCCCATTAGATTAGATAACTTATCTTTCCATCAGAAACTCAGAAGGTGTGAAGTCTATTTAATATGCATTTGAAATCTGTGAAGGTGAAAGTGGAAACGAGATTGCTGCAAGATTGAAGCGTGATCTGCTGCCAACACTGATGAATGGTCTCATGTTTTGGCCACTATGTGATTTCTTGACATACAAAGCAATTCCAGTCCATTTACAGGTCTGTCTTTTTTTTCTTCTTACAGAAAGAAGCTTCTACAGTTATATTTCATAGTCATATCATACAATTGCAACCTTTTACTATTATCTGTATCTAGAAGAGTAATATTTATTTAATACTTTTTTGGCCAGCCACTGATGAACAGCTCATTTGCATATTTATGGACCATTTACCTAACGTACATGGCAAGTTTGAAGAAAGCAGCTACAGATTAGTTTGCTCACAAATCACAATTCGGATTTCAAGTCAAAATGAGGAATCGGGTGATTTGCCTTTGTCTGGATCAGCCTGTGAATAGAGATTACCAACCTTTTTTTCAAAAAGGGAAAACACAGTTTCTCAAAGTGTAATACAGACATTACAGAGTATCGTTTAGTGCCAGTTATTTGATTTCTGCACCTTTACTATTAGTAATATGGAGAGATTTTGCTATGCTATGTTCTTTGATCTCATTTCATTTGTTGACTACTCTATTCATTTGCAAACCCCTTTATTGCCCTTCAAACATTTCTTCTGTGTAACCCTACCATGCCATAATATACTAAGCTAGTTCTACAGAATTAGCTTTCTAATTTGCAATTAATTAATTTGCTTCGTAAGAATCATTCATCCGGTTAAGTACTGCAGAACTGTGTGAGTTTGAAGGGCTGGAGACTGGAGAGTACTTTGTGGACTTCTTTCAGGTCTATGCTTTTCTATGCGTTCGTTTGAAGTTTTGATGTTGATGGTCATATTGAAATACAACCCAGCAAGCATCCGGGATTTGGTGAATTGGTGGTCCAAAATAAAGTTAAATTGACTATATAATTCTCAAATGGTTCAAATAGAAAGGTCTTAGCTGAACATAAAAATCATTTGATTACAAATTCCACCGATAAATGTTTAAGGAAAAATGCGGTAGTGTACTAGTGTTGAGGTAATATGTTAAAGTACGACATGTAAAATGTGTATCTTTTTAAAAATTTAATACCACTATAATACGTGGTATTTCACTTTTGTAATTAAAAAGTGCATCGCACACACATATTGCAAGAGTGATATTGAAACACTTTTTCATATGTAGTTGCAAATCAAAGTCTTTTGATGAAACATCGGTTCAACGGGAATGAGTAAAATCATCCCTTTTTCACGGGAAGAGTACATGTGTGTGTTTGTGTGAATCATTTTGGAATCCTGAAAACTATGGAACTTGCAACTTGCAAGTTAGTTCATCTCTTACAAAATCAGAAAATTTACTCTTGCATGATTGGTATTGCTCTTAATCGTGAAATTATAACAAAATCACAAAATTTACTCTTACAAATGAACTCATACGCGTGACTTAAACGCATTGTAAGGTAATACTTTGACATGTCTATCCGTGACTCCGTGAGGCAATGAAGTTGGTCCAAACAGATGACACCTAGTACTTAAGTTAATCCGATTGGGAAGTTAGGCTATGTTTGGCAATGCATTTCAGCCAATTATGGGCTGAAATTCGTTAATTTCAGCTAATGGTTATTGAAGTAGCCTTGTTTGGAGGCAAGTCTAAACCAGGCTGAAAGTGAAAAAACCAGGCTGAATCAAAACGTTTGCAAGTCTAGCGTTTCTATTAAGCCGACTGTATAATATCTTCCCATCCCCGAAGTACCCCGTGCTGGCCTCGTGTATATCCGAGATTCTTTGGCGGCAAAGAGGGCCATCATCAACAATTTCCTTCCCTATTGTAATCACCTCTTCTGCCCAGATATTTTTCATCTAATTCGTTGTTGTAAGGCACGATATAAATTCACTCGTCCCTAGAGTGTTCTTCTTGTTGGTTAATTTCTTCCTGTAACTAAACATTCCGGAGTATTTAATTTGTAAGGTTACGATGAAGATGATGAGCTGTTAGACTCGATTGGTTAACCTCTAATTTTCTTGAGTGCTATAGCCTATAGTTGTCCCAACAGTAATTTCTCTCAAACAAATCAAAGAAAATACCCTTTTCTTATAGAAGAGGCCCTCCTCTAGGGGTGGATGTAATGGAAGTAATCTTATGAAGGCCAACAATCCTTCTCTGCCCATTTGCTTTGAACACGCACACATATATTAAAAGGGTGAAATATAATAATCACTATAATAAATATTTTAATCTATTAATAAATCATATGCCCTTTAATGTAATTTCATATTATCCCAGCACATTTTCAGCTCTTTTTGCCAAATAGATCTAATTCATTCAGCTAGCAATTCAGATTTAACACTTTAAAGTTCAGTTCCAGACAATAGTATTTCATTCAGACTATAGCCTCTAATTCAGACATTAGTCTCCAGCTTCAGCTTGTTGTGCCAAACATAGCCTTAGTTTTAATCGTCACATAATCACTATTTTATCTTCCCTTTAAAGTTTGAGTCAATTTCTTGCTATGAATCTGAATTATTAGATTTAGTTCTCTCGGGTTAATTCATGGAAATGATTAATCAATGCGAGTGATTTCATTTACTATACAAATGACGTCATTGTTGGGAATCAAAACTTTAAAGGGCAGGTCAATTGACTCGTGATTTATTCTTGTTCCAAGAGGTTGTATCCCCAACTCCAACACCCCACACCCCGACTCGACAAGCAATTTTGGAGGTTGTATGTCACGGTGACTCAGTCAACCTAATGACGATAGATCTTATACGTGTGCGCACCAGAGATCTAGTCCAGCACAAAGAAGCTATAAGCCTATAACCTCCACACGATCCGGATCTCGATCTTTGGTTAATATTACAACTTTCCCACCGGAGCCATGACATTGGATCGAACTAAGCCGGTACAAAGAATATTTTTGAAGAAAAAATACACAGAATTTTTTAAATATAGGATGAGTCAAGATCCAGGTTGCCCCTAGCTAAACTTCTTTCCGCCACGCAACTAACTGAGCTACCCGTACCGGTTGGTGATTTACTTTCTTATGACTAAAGGGTGTGTTCTGAGAGTCGTTTGAAGTGAAGGGGGCGTTTTCAATTTTGTTTTGGACATCAAACGGCAACAGAAAAACCAACGGTCCGGCTCAGAGCATAGAGCTCGTTTCCCCCGCAAAATGGACGCCATTCAATGCTTTTCCCCACTCTTCTTGTGTTTATTTATTATTATTATACCAAACAAACTAATGCCTTTACTCTCCTCACTTACTTCTCTGTTTTGCATTCAACTCACCTTTTTAAAATTCATTAACGGCGAAAGTGTATATATATACTGAAACCCAGTGCTTCTTATCACTGCAGATTTTTCTTGGTGGCTCTCAAAACTATTCTTCTAAGAAATTTCAGCATCCAGAAAATAAGTCAGGCCACTCTTCTCCTGCCGTTGAATGTTGTGAATGCAATAAAAGAAAATATCATTCTTTCTGTGTTTGAAGGATGAAGTCTTTTGGTTGCTTTTCAGTTCTGTTATTCATGGCTGGAACAGCTTTCACATGCAAGCTTTCACATTCCACCATAATTGGAACTTTCTTTTTAATTCCAGGTTTTCTTTTTTTCTTTTCTGTGCTAGCTGTAAATTGTGGGATTTTTCATTGTGGGATTTCCCTGTTTTATGAATGTTGCTAGCTGTAATTTGGTTTCCAGGCATATGCTTATGAATGTGAAAGCCTGAGAGGTGAAATGAACCAAAATAAGTCTACTAAAATGGAATTATATCCACTAAAATAGGTGTATAAAAACAACTATTTGCTATATATATGCTGTCATTTTCGATTTTTGGGTTTATCGTTTAATAAGTTATTCCATTAGCTGGACAATAAACTAAGTAGTACTCCCTTCGCTGAATTAGATTTCGCCAACTTTTCCCTTTTTTTTTCCAAAAAAATTGTCATTTTCTTGTAGTAATAAATTTGTGATCTACTTATTTTTCTTTCATTTGCACAAAATTCAACCACACAATTTACTTTTCTAATTTATAACATAATTCTAAGTGTGCAATATCCATCGGGATGGAAGTTATATAAAATAGTTCTACACATCAATCAACATTGATGTTTAGAACAACTAACAAAAAACAGAAACTTGCATTTTTTATTTACCGTGACTAGTCCATGATTGTGCAAGAAAAAACTAGATAAAAAAAAGATGATTTGAATAAGGGGTGGAGAGGGTCACGTTTGGGGTTAATTCTAGTCCTGGACCGGCCAAGCTTAAAAAAATGGGAAGCGCATCACGGCCCACTTGTCCTGGTCCCGTTTTTTATATTTTTTATTACATTTGTAAAACTTTCATCCACTGCACACACCTGCCCGCCCTTTTTCAGCTTTTAAATGCATCTCAACCCTTTTAAAATACTTCCCAATGGTTTAAATGTAAAAAATCTTGACCTAACTCTATCAGGTCTATATTATGTGATTAAGGGGTGTTTGGAACTGATTCTGTTTGTGTTTCTTTTTTAAAAACAAAATCACGATCAGAATCAGTTTTTTAGAAATTGATCTTTCCTAACTTCTAAAAAACTGCTTGTATGAGTGATTTGGAGCACCGGAAGTACTTATGCACTTTCAATTCACCCATGGAAGTACACCTCAATATCTGGACCATGGAAGTATTAAGTATGGGTTAAAAAATGGTGTGTTATTTTGAGAAAGCTGGTTCAAGAATTTGTTCAAAACAACTATATATAAAATACTCTGTAACAAAGAAGCCCTTTGAAAAAATAAAACAAAATATTAATGATACATAAAGAGTTGAGATGGGGGGAGACCTTTTAGGATGAATAAAAGTAAATTTTAATAAAGCACTGGCTCAAGACTTCTTTTTTCGTTTTTATTTTTTTATTTTAATTGAGATATAGAAATCCTCCCAGCTGATGTAGCTTAATTAACTTCTTAGAAAAATTATAATATTGATGGAGAAGTAGGAACATGGCAACATGCCATTTGCACTGCAAACATATACTACGTACTAAGATTGTGGTACCTGTCATAAGATTTTGTACAAACAGATCTGTTTCAAGTCGCATTATTTTAGCTACATACAACTGTATAAACAAAATTATCCCAAAGCTCTGATGTCTTTATGTTCGGTAGCTTAGTAGAGGTCAAATTTATTGTGTTGGAAAAATAATGTAGTATAAACAAAGAATTGATTTTTTATACCACTTACCACGTTCTGCTTGTGTGCCAATGCCACTATTTTCTTTGGCTCAAATCGTCCATGGTTTTACTTTAAATTAAATAAATGTTTTGGTTGATCTAATTTAGTTTCTTTAATTGTGGTTAATTCAAAACGTCTGATTTGTTCAAATATGATTTTTTTTATAAATTGTTTAAATATGATTATATCTTGTCGTTTGGTTTTATTTTAACTTAAGATAAATCAAATTTGAATAAATTAGTCGAATATACGTACTCACACTATATACTGCGTATTTACTTGACCATATCATACTAAAACAAACTAGAACAAATCCAACTTAAATAAAACGAATCACACTACAACAGAAAATTAAACTTAATATTTGCATGATGCATTATGTTAATAACATTATGAGTGGTACAAGAGTAGAAATAGGAGAAGTGGTGATTGTCATTTCATATCTAAAGAAGGCACTAAAGCTATGTTTGCGTATGTTTGTACTGTAGTACTATTTAAAAGTGATATGTTTAAGGGAAAATGGAAACTAATAATCCAATCTTTTAGCGGTCTTCTTTCAATAATCTCACCTTTTTATTATTCATGAATAATCCAACCTTTGCACCTCATCTTCATTCACTGGTCCGAGATCGGTTAATGACCTACTATTCCAAGTTATTTTCTTATATTTGCAAAATATTATCTTTGTGAAATATGAGATTTATTGTATAATGATTTGCAAATATAAGAAAATAGCTTGGAATAGTAGTAGGTCATCAACCAGTCAGGGACCAGTGAATGAAGATGAGGTGCAAAAGTTGGATTATTCATGAATAACCAAAAGGTGAGATTATTATAAGAAAACCGCTAAAAGGTTGGATTATTAGTTTCCATTTTCCCTATGTTTAAGAGATAATTAGAAAGGTTAATTATAATAGGTAGTGTTTGTAAATAGAAGTCATTTTATTTAAAATGTAAAAAGTTAAGTGTTTATTAAAAAGGTGATTTGTAGTCTAATATATTAGTGATAGTACAAAAATACCCGGCTTTAAGAGTTATAAGGAGTATATATTGTCAAAAAACCTACGCTTCAAGAACACTCATGCGGAAATCTATTTTCCATTTTTCCTTTGGAGCTCCGGAAATCTACGTTTCAAACGTACCTTTTGGTGAGACCAATTTTCCTTATCAATCTTCTCTAACACGATTAGAGTATTAGACAAGAAGTTATCCTTTACATTTTTAATCTCGTTGTTTTAATGGATTTATTTATATGTATTCAAACAATGAAATTGAAACCCATCCCTTCTCTCCAAGTTTTTGGAGTCGTTCTACCATATTTAGGGGCGGATACGCGGATGGTAGTGTGAGGGCAGGGGTGAGCTTCGGTCCAACCCAATATTTTTTAGTTAGTATAGGTATATGTTAAATTCTCAGCCCATCCCAAAATTAATTCTCAGCCCACCAAAAAGTTAATTCCCAGCTCACAGCCCAGCACTAAACTTACCTGCGCTTCAATTCTCGGCTGACATACGCGAATTGGAGTTACTGTGTGAGGATGAAGGAGCTCGATTGTGCAAAGAACGATGAGGGAGCAGTCCAAGCTTGAACCTGCGATGAAGAAGTGAACACCAGTCGTGCCGCTGACGTCCTCCATCCACCTGCGTCGTCCCACTCGTCTGCCACTCCGCCCTTATTCTCTGGACTCCGACAGTCCACCTTTGCACAACTGCGCCTCCGCCTCCCTCCAGGACTTCAGGTGAACTTCAAATCTATTTCTTTTTTAGATTTTTAATTTATTATTTGATTGAGTTGGTGTTAGATTGTGATTTGTGAATGTGTTATACCGTATTATCATTATTGTGTATTAATATATATTATTATTTTTAGCATTTTAGAGTTTTAGGGTTAGGGAATCATTTTAATTATAAATTAATTTTTCAGTACATATTTTTTTTAACTCCAGGGGGTCCGGGGGAGGGGCGGCCTGAAGTAATATGGGCTGAAACTCACTTCATCGAGTTTCGAACCCTTTTGTGCCTAGCGGGTTTCGAACTCGAGACCTCCCACTAGGCACGGTAACCTCACAACCAGCTGGGCTGAATTGTTTGGTTATTTTTCAGTACTTAATTAAATAGTGTTTAATTCATTATAATTTTATAATGATTAAAGATAGAATTAAAGAGTAGAAAATTAACTAGTTATTATACAATTGAGAATACTTATTAGTTTTATGTACAACGATTGTTTTTTCTTTATTAGTTATATTTTTATATAAGTATTTTAATTTATACCAATATTGAAAATGTTTTTTAGAATGGATAATGAACATATTGTTAAGAAAGGAAAGAAGTTGATTTCATCATTCTTTTCGAAAGTGAATCGTCAAACTGGTGAAGGGAGTTCTGAACCTATACCTACGATAGTGCAAGATCTACTCAATGAGATTCCTCTACATGCCCAAGCCCCTAAAATCCAAACTATCTCAACTTTGGAGTTGTCTCCATCTTTTTCCATTGAGAGGGATCCGGGAAAAGAAAGCAAATTCTTGAATATCATGTCAATGTGCGAGATAAAGTGAGACGTGCATATCTAAATGTTGGGCCTTATCAACCGAGAATGGAAACTTATCTAGTTAAAAAGATTGGAGCTCAAAACTAAGGTTTTCAGAAACACTGGTTTGACAAGTTTAATGGTTAGAGTACTCACTGTGACTGATAAAGCTTACTCTTTTTTCTGTTTCCTTTTCTTGAATACTACTTCTGCATTAGTTAAGGAAGGATTTCAAAGTTGGAAAAGGATAAGTCAAGGAAGTAGATGTGCATTTCTTCAGCACATTGGTACTGCAAAAAAATCACCTCATATGATGTGTGTTGAAAGAGCTGAAAATTTGAGGCAACCATCTGGTCATATTAAGAATGTTTTGCACGCCCAATCGCAACAAGAAAAGGAAAAAAATCGTTTGCGATTGAGAACTTCTATTATAACTATTCGATGGTTAGCACTTCAAGGTTTTGCCTTAAGAGGTCATGATGAATCTTTAACATCATCAAATCGGGGAAACTTTATTGAATTAGTAAAAGCTTTTGCGAGTATGAATATCAAAGTTCATGAAGTTGTACTTGAGATTGCTCCAAAAAGGCTCAGTACATTGCCCCCGAGATTCAAAAAAGAGATCTTGAATATAATGACGAATAGAGTTCATCAAATAGTTCGTGAAAAAATTGCAAATAGTTGTTTCTGCATTCTGTTTGATGAAGCACAAGATATATCTAAATAGGAGCATATGGCGATTATTATAAGGTTTGTGAACAACAGTAAAATTCTTACAGAGCGTTTATTTGCCATCAGAACTGTTGGTGACACTATAGCAACAACCTTGAAAGGTAAAATATGTGATGTGCT